GAGAGGGAGAACAATGTGGAACAAAACTCAAAATCATTTGGAGAAAAAAAAGGGGGGAACCAGGTTTGCTGGTCCGATAGAGCCTGGTGGAACCACTAAGCTATGGCTCCTAGCTACCCTTCAGGTCTGGAATTGAACCCACACCTGTGGCTTCTAGCAAGCAAAAGGCAGGCATAGGAGTTGAACATTTACCTGAGGTAGATATACTCCTAGGAGAGAACAATCATGGGAGAAAGAATAGCTCCTTATGTACAGGGAGACAGCTCAGGGGGCAGGAGTGCATGGAGGGTAGGACACAGGGAAGAGGTAACTATCGGCAGGAAGTGGGATGGGAGCTATTGCATTGTGGTAAATTGTGGTCAATGTCATGAGACAACGTGTATGTGAACCGCTGTATGGAAAGTGAATTTGCTCTGTAAATTTTCACCCAAATCACAATTAAAATAAATAAATAAATAAAGACAAACTTTTAATATCAACACCATTTTGGCTTAGTACAGGTTGTATCTACCTTGAAAGGAACAACAGGATTTATTGCGAAATACTCTAAATATGTTGCTCTTCACTAAACTTCCAAATCTCTCTGAGCTCAAGTTTTGCTTGCTAATATATGTCTTCAAAAGAAGAAAAGCAAGCTGCAATCGTTTTATATTTTTATTATGTTGTCAGAAGGGACAACTCCTTGGAGAAGAATACCATGCTCGGTAAAGTAGGAGAAGGTCAGTAAAAAAAGGAATGACCCTCAGTAAGATAGGTTGACCAAGTGGCTGCAACGATGGGCTCAAGCATAACAGCTACTGTGAGGGATGGCACAGGACTAGGCAGTGTGCTTCGTTCTGTCATACACCAGGTCTCTATGCGTCAGAGCCAACTCAGTGGCACATAAAAACAACAAGGTAATTAAAGTATAATGCTACACACTGTCTTACAGCATATACCAAACTTAAAAGATTTTTATTTTGTTCAGTCAAAGCATCTTACATATAAGTGCACCTACTCCTCACTTATCAACTATCTCGTTATCTGACATTTCCCATTTACAATGATAGTAAAAAAAAATCTACTATCCAATTAGTTTGCTCATTAACAACATATAACTGGCAGTAACAGACACGAAAGTGTGGGGCAAGAGTAATGCTTGGTTGTGATGCTTAAGGGTATGTGTCACATTGGCTGGGCCATGATTCTCAGTGGGTTGGCAGTTATGTAAGATATAATGCAGTCATCCCCTATTTTGTAATCTGATGTGGTCATCCTCCACTTTGGCATAATGCAGATTTTCGTATAACAACCTGGTGTTTGGACCCTAATTCTGTCAATAAATGAAAAGTGGTTGTATTTGTAAATAGTGGACTTTTATGCTATCATGCTATGACTGACCCATCTGCTGTAATTCTTTTTCCACTCCCAAAAGTTACAGTTTTGGGGAATTTCACAGAATGTTAACCAGAGGAATTTCTTTCCCTCAAAATTACTTACCTGAATATATTTCCGCTGTGTTTCATCATTTAAAACATGTGCAACATGCTTAGAAAAAATCTTTTCCCTGCCTGTTCTGGCATGGATACCAACCATAGTGACACCAATGGGCCAAGGGGCATTTCCAATGGCCATTTGCAGATAAGCATCATTAGCCTAAAAAGAAAAGATCAGAAGAGATCAGAAAAACAAAGTATTGTATTGGTGCAAACCTTTACTTCAAGTGCATTATACCCCTTTATAACTTAATTTTCAGCCATCTCTTAGGCATACTAAAAATATTACCATCCCTATTATTCAAACAAAAGAAATTAAAAAGTATGAGGTGACTGACTGTCCTGCTCAGGACCACAAATATTCATGGAAAAACAGAAACCAAAGTTAAGTTTGTGAGTGAAAATACAAACATTTCTTTGTGGCTTTTGTGCACTGGAAATTATTATGTTTCAGATACGGAATTACCAGGTAGGTAATTTGATGCTCTGTTAGGAACTCTAATTTGGCTCTCCTTTAGACATAGTCTTCTCCATAGGTGGTCATACACAAGACAGAGGCTAACTAGTTTTTCATAATCCAACCTGAAACTGTATCCACTCCCTGCACAACAGTGCAGACCTCTCAAAGCAGATGGGAGCTCTGTGTGCTGGGAATATCACCTAGGGTCCATAACAGATGTGTAAACAGAGATTAAATACTGACCCTCGAGTCAAATACCTAAAGAATGAGATCGGTTCACTTTGGCACCCCGAACCCTCCCACCTGCCAAGAACCTTAAAATAAAAGATACAAGAAGCAAAGACAGAGACCAATGAAGACAAATGGCTCTTTTTTAAAGCAAGCCTGGCTAACTATAAGGAATAAGAAGCAGAGAAAAAAAAAGGAAGTAATTAAATTTTTAAAAGACCCTGAGGGTTTCAGAGCAGCTTAAATAGCCAGGCCTCAAAGAATATTTAAGTGTAAAAATTAAACAACGATGTGACATGTAGAGTTGGTTAAAAAAAATTCATATACTACACATAGGTTAACTAGAAGATCATTTCCTCTCTTAAAGATAATTTTGAACTTCCTATGCTTTACAGATGTTATAAAACTAAAAGTATATACAAATTTTTATCACTGATTCTCATGTGTAAATTTCAACATTGGGCACTGACAAAAATTCCAATATTAAGTTTTTCCAAATTTCCATAAAATAAGTTATGAAAGTTTCTTGGTCTTTTCTGTAGTTTATAACAAAAAAAAAAAAAAAAAATTCACCTGATTCTCACATATGATAACAAGAAAAAGTAATAAAAGGAAAGGCATCTACTTTAGTGGGCAAGTGATTTAACTTCTTTTTATAGTGATAGTAACCTCACCCATCTATTCCAATCTTAATCAATCATAATCTTCCTTAGTTAAGATTATGCAACTAATAATAAAAAAAAATCTAAAATTGAAATTTATGACCACAAAGCAAAAATATTTTCTCTGAAAAAAAAATACACTGGCTCTTACAGGGACTACTTTAGCCTCATCAGCATGAGGCTATAAGCAAAGTAAATCATTTAGTCACCCAAGAATGCAGGCAGTCCCTCCATTCTTAGGAGTACAAATACTCAGAGCATAGCAGTAACCAACGTCACCTCACTTTTCTGTCAGAATCATGAGTACTGCTCTAGAACTGTCACTGCACCTGTTTCACAGAAATTCTCAACTCCTACTCTCTTGGGTAACTACTTGTCTGTCATTCTACCATATTATGGTAGCTCACATGCTACTGTGAATCAAAGACCTGGGGTAGAAAACCAAAAGGGAAGAATACACCTGGCATTTCTCAAGCTGAAAGAACTGAAGGAAAAATTCAAGCCTCAATTTGCAATACCAAAGGATTGTATGGACAAAATATTGAACAACACAGGAAGAATCAAAAGAAGATAGAAGCAATAAAGTTAGGCACTGTAACAAAAAGAACTGGCTGACATTCAATCATTTCAGGAGGTAGCATCTAATCAAGAACTGATGGTACTGAAGGAAGTAGTCCAAGCTGCACTGAAGGCACTGGTGAAAAACAAGTCTCCAGGAATTCACAGAGTACCAATTGAGATGTTTCAAAAAATGCATCCAACACTGGAAGTGTTCACTCATTTATGCCAAGAAATGTGGAAGTCTGCTACTGGCTACTTGACTGAAAGAGATCCATATCTGCACCCATTCCAAAAAAAATGTGATTCAATGGAATACAGAAATTATTTGGACAGTATAATTAATATCACATGCAAGTAAAATCTTGCTGAAGATAATTCAAAAATGGTTGTAGCAGTACAATGACAGGGAATTTCTAGACATTCAAGCTGAATTCACAAGAGGATGTGGAACAAGAAATATCATTGCTGATGTCAGCTGGATCCTGGCTAAAAGCAGAGAATATCAGAAAGATGTTTACCTGACTATGCAAAGGCAATGGACTGTGTGGATCATAATTAATTATGGTGCAAAGAATAGGAATTTTAGAACACTTAATTGTGCTTATGTGGAACCTGTGCATAGACCAAGAGGCAGTTATTCAAACAGAACAAGGGGATACTGCATGGTTTAACATCAGGAAACGTGTACAGCAGGGTTGTATCCTTTCACCATGCTTATTCAATCTATATGCTGAGAAAATAATATGAGAAGCTAGACTGTATGAAGAAGAACACAACGTCAGGATTAGAGAAAGACTCATTAACAACCTGTAAGATAACCTTGATTGCTGAAAATGAAGAGGACTTGAAGCACTTATTGATGAAAATCAAAGACTACAGCTTTCAGGATGGATTACACTTCAACATAAAGAAAACAAAATCCTCACAACGGGACCAGTTAGCAAAATCATGACAAATACAGAAAAGACTGAAGTTGTGAAGGATTTCATTTTACTTGGCTCCACAATCAATGCCCATGGAAGCAGCAGTCAGGAAATCAAATGACGTACTGCACTGGGCAAATCTGCTGCAAAGGACATCTTTAAAGTGTTAAAAAGCAAAGATGTCGTTCTTGAGGACTAAGGTGCACCTGATCCAAATTATGGTCTTTTCAATCACCTTACATGCACTCAAAAGCTGGAATAAGGAAGACTAAAGAAGAATTGGTGCATTTGAATTATGGTATTAGCAAAGAACACTGAATGTACTGTAGAATGCCAGAAGAACAAACAAATCTGTCTTAGAAGTATAGTCAGGATGCTCCTTACTTGGTCTCATGTACTTTGAATATGTCATCAGGAGTCAGTTCCTGGAGAAAGATACCATGCTTGGTAAAGCAGAGGGAGGATCAGCAAAAAAGAGGAAGATACCTGAATAAGATGGACTGACACAGTGGCTGTAACAATGGGCTGCCAAACATGGCAACAAATGTGACAATGGCATAGGACTGGGCAGTGTCTCATTCTCTTACACACAAGGTTCCTGAGCCAGAGCCAACTTGGATGGCACCTAACAACAACTCCCTTGGGAGGTACAGCTGTGAGGAGCCTCCTCCCTCAAAGTCTGCTTATCACCTAGTAGTGTAACATTTCCAGACTCCACTTTTAGGCCCTTCTCTTTGTGTTTCCTCTACCAACTCTGTAGCATGAATTTAATAAGAAAGCCTTCTGCTTTCCCCTTTCTATACTCTGTGCCAGGAGCCTTCAAAACCAGAGTTCTTTCCCTCTGTCACCTCTTCACAGATCCCATTCAAGAGTAAAGACATTGAAGCAAGGAGGAAATCTTCCTTTCAAGGAGTGTACTATTGTTGCTGTACTGAAGTGGGAAAGATGAATTCTGGCAGCCTTACTTGGAACATTTTCCCATAGATATAATTACAAAGGGTAGTTAAATTCCATTTTATCATCAGTACAACAGTTCAGCTATATTGTGGACCAAATGAACTTTATAACTGGCCTGGGAAACTAGTAATCTAACACTGCTTCTATGGGAAAACTATTCCAAGTCATAATGAACCATTTACTTTTGAAATTCAATCCCATTCACAAAATGAACCCTGCCTATATACTGTTCATGCTCTGAAGAACCTTTGGCCTTTACCTTTAAAATGACAAAAACATATAGTTGCAATCTGAGAGTCTGTTATTCATTACTAAGAAAGCTGACAATACAACAGAAAATAAACTACCAGTTCAAGTCACATTTATTTTCAAATTTTCTATGTAAAGTCCTCCCATCCCAAACGAACATTTACATTATGCATGTAACCTAGATATGCTCATAATCATAATTTCAATGCACAGCACGGTAATGTACCTTCACATATTCTCTCTGTAGCATGAATTTAATAATATCTGTTATGGATTCCTTAATATCAGCAGGCAGATTCTGGAAAAGAACAATAAAAGCATAACTAATTTTGGAAGCTACTGGGTACAGAGAAAGGCTTGCATTTAAACCTATATATTCTATCAACAGGAGCTCTGGTGGCATAGTGGCTAAGGCACTTGACTGCTAACCAGAAGGCTGATGGTTCAAACCCACCAGCCACTCCTTGGAAGGAAGGTTGGCAATCTAATTCTGTAGTGATACTGGCTTGGAAACCCAAGGAGGAGTCACTATGAGTCGGGTCCAACTCGACGGCACATAACAACAACAACATTCTATCAAAAAAAACAAAAGGCCAGTTAAAAGCTTTTTTAGAGAAACCTTACCCTTTTCCGTAACTTTCTGAAAAGTGGTCTGAGATAAGACTCTGTCTGTTTTTGAGTAGCACTGTTCAGTTTACCCTGCACACTGCGTTTCACATAATCTTCTCTGGCATTCAATTCTTTAGCCCAAACTCCAAGAAGAAACTGTTGAAAGAATGGGTAAATTTAGACTACAATGCCACCCAGTGGTTCCACACGTTTAAAAGTTCACTGACACAAAAAGCAGTATACTATCACCCTTAAAGTTGATTTCCTGAGTAATATACACCTTAAAAAAAAAACCAAACTCACTGCCATCGAGTTGATTCCAACTCATAGTGACCTCCGTTGAGTTTCTGAGGCCTTCCATGGAGCAGCTGGTTGCTTTGGACCACCAACCTTCTGGTTAGCAGGCAAATAAATGCCTTATTCACTACACCACCAACCAAACCAAATCACACTCACTGCCACTGAATAGATTATAACTCATAACAACCTCTTTTGGGTTTCCAAGGTCATAAATCTTTACAGAAGTAGATTGCCTAGTCTTCTTTCCACAAAGTGGCTGGTGGGTTTGAACCGCCAACCTTCTGGTTAGCAGTCACATGCCTTAGGCACTATGCCACCAGACCTCCTTAATATACACCTACACCTCACTTTAGGAGCTCTGGTAGCATAGTGCCTAAGGCACTTGATTGCTAACCAGAAGGCTGGCAATTCAAACCCACAAGCCACTCCTCAGAAGGTTGGGCAATCTACTTTCGTAGTGATACCGTCTCAGAAACCCAAGGAGGAGTCACTATGAGTCGGGGCCGACTCAATGGCACATAACAACAATAACAACACACCTCACTGCTATTTCACATTTACTTTAATAGTAAAAAACCTACAATTCGACTATTTCGCAAATTAACCTGGGTTTCCTCCCCACGTTCAGCTCCCAGCCTGCAGAGCCACCCATGTCTGTCAGGTTCACAGCTGAAGCAGCCAGCTCTCCAGAAGGCCTCTTGCCAGTCACATCCCCACCGCAGGAGCCATGATTCATGCAAGAGAGGTGACAGGTGGATTTTGAGGTAGGTCTTTCAAGGGCCCATAAGTGACTAGAAAGCCCTAGGAGGTGGGGGAGGTTGCTGCTGCTGCTCCCCTCAAGAGCCCCGGAGGGACCAAGTCCTTCAGTGGGAAGGCTACTAGGGGTAGTTGGGGCCTGTGGGCTGCAGTAGAAGCTGACCACCCTCTCCTCCTCCACAGCCCAGGCTGCTGAGCTCCTCTCCCAAACCGATGTTAGTCTCTAGGCTCTCAGACTAGGATTCCAAGCCCTGCAAGATCAGCAGCACTTTGTTTCTGTGGAATCCTCCCAGCTTACAAGGTGGCAGTAAGTGGCTGAGGCTGCAGAGGGGATAGCCTTGGGGGACCAGGGCACAGGCAGCAACCTCCATCAACTGTCTGACCCTGGCCCCACAAGTTGTCTGAGCCCCAGAGGTATCAACTGTGCCTTTAGTCCAGCCAGCGGGCCCCAGGTTCATTCAAGAGCCAGCCCCAATGGCAGGGCCTTGGGGTCCAGAGCACAGCAGTGCCACGGGCACAGCAGTTCTGAAGGTCTAGGCCCAGAGGCCACCTCTGCATCTTCCTCTTCCTTGCATAATGCCGATTTTGCATAATGACATGGTTTTTGAAACCTAACCATGTTGATAAGTGAGGAGTGGATGTTTCATCAAATGATACTTAATTAAGAAACTATTTCTGCTTATTTTCTCATGCATATTTGGAAGCTGTTCCTTTAACAAGTCACCAACTTTATCAGAATCCTCCCTATTCCATATATATTCCTAGCTCAAGATAATCCACTTCCCCTCAATGAGAACTGTCAAATTTCATAGTCATTTGAGAGAAATAAACTTTTGCTTGTATTTCTATTATCCAAAATTCAAACAACCTAGATTTACCATCTGTAAGACCATACGTACTATGATACTTAATAACACTCTCCTAAGAATGTTGCAGTATTTGGACTTCCTACTTATGTAATAAAGACCACAATTTAATTAAAAATTCTCATAAAGTGCCAGAATAAAGAGACTAGAGATAAAAGAAACTATAGTCCATCCCTTCCACTCCCCAGAAAACTACCCCAGAGCCCCTGAGTTTAGTTGCATAAAGTATACCTTCTAGAGATATGTAAACAGACAGCTATGGAGGATATACCCTCTAGTGGATATGAATATCCTATACAAGGAGAGGCCTTCACTCAAACAGGAAATTCTAGTTCCTCAAAGAGGCAACTCATACTAGTTCCCATGCCCTATCTGTTGTTGTTGTTGTTATGTGCCGTTGAGTCGGACCCAACTCAGAGCGACCCCTCCTTGGGTTTCCGAGGCAGTATCACTACGGAAGTAGATTGCTCCATCTTCCTTCCGAGAAGTGGCTGGTTGGTTTGAACCACCAGCCTTCTGGTTAGCAGTCAAGTGCCTTAGGCACTATGCTACCAGAGCTCCATGCCCTATCTAGTTCCATGCAAATCCTCAATATATTCAGAATCTTGATGACTAATATCTAGTATTTAAGTTGTAAAAATTAGCATCAAATTAAGTAATTATTGTTTGATGGTATTTTAATCAGTCGAGAAATTTCTTGTATTTCTAGCATATAAATCTCTTGGCCAGAACATGATAAAAGTTTGTGACTCAATGCTGAATGAATCTGGGATTTGCCCACACTCTGCCTAGACTACTACAGAGGGAAATGCTGACAAGAAAGATGGAGAGAGCTCATCACAGCAAGAACAGGCAGCTATCTACAGACCTAAGAAAATGAACACAGGCTCTGCAGGGTTCCTGATATGTTTCTGTTTTTCACTGCCAATGTCTTCCTACCTCCTTCCTTTCTTTACTGCCACATCCTCTCATAAAAGCTCTCAAATCTTTCTATCACTACACTCCTTCCTAGAGTGTTTTTTAAAAAATAAGGAACTCTGCAAACTTCTTGTTCATTCTGCTGTCCTAATTCTTTTCTGTATATTTACATTAAGAAGAACAAGAGGAAAGAAAATATACATTTTCTTTGATTAATTCTATATCATAAAGTACGTAATAATATAATAAACATAGTATAGAGTCAAAAAAAAAGTTTATTAAAAGTTTCTCTTTCCCATCTTTAACCCCTGATCATTGAAAAGTTCAAGAACAGCTCTTAACTAATCAAAATGTCCTCCTTTCCTAGCCTAAGAGTACATACCTTCAGGAATTTGGTAATGATATCCATGTCTTTATGATCATCACCTTTTCCTAAAGACTCTCCCAATGCCTTAAGAGAAAAGAAATAATACTTTTGTTTATTAGTAACAAGCAACAACTGAATACATATGTTATCAAGACCAGTCTAAATATGACTCTTTGATACATATACAGTTCAATTTTTATTTAAAAATTTAATAGAATTTCTAAATAAGTAGAAAAAAATATATATAGCCGATTTGCCTTTAAACTTAGAAAGCATGTTGTCTTTGCTGAATCAAAAGACAAAAGAGGAAAGATGAGGGGCTATTGCTACTGATATGGGAGTTCGTTGGGGAATAAAAATGCTCTAAAATTAGATTGTGACGATGATTGCACCACTCTATGAATGCACTGAAAACCACAAAATTATATGCTTTAAATGAGTGAATTATATAGTACGTGAATATTTCAATGAAGCTATCTAAAAGTTTAAAAAAAAAAAAAAAAAAGCCTGCAGCACCACTTATTTAAGTCAAATTTAGAATCCAAAGATGGGGGAAGGGTAATTAAAATGACTTCTTCTTCAACTATAGTTGCACTCATAGAGAATGCAACATGTGTGTGAACCAGGAATTAAAGAAAACAGAAAAGTAAGAGCTTATGATTTATTAAGAACTTTAAACTAAGCCCTATATTTTTTCTTATGTTATATATTTGCATGATACAACACTGTATTTTAAATTTTAAGATTACCTACAACACTCCACATTCATCACACTAATGAAAATTAGAAAGCAAGATAATGCCAGTGCTGACAGGAATGCAGAAATACAAGACCTTCGCACCGTGATGGGGAGGGTGTAGACTGGGACAGCCATTCTGGAGTGCAACATGGCAGTACTTAGACAAGTTAAACATATAAATCCAGCAATCCCAGTTTTTATGTCTATTAGGAATTATGTACAAGATAGTTTATTACTAAGTTACCTGTGGTGGCAGGGAACTGGGAGCATCAACATTATCAGGGAATAAAAAGTAAAATGCAACGAAATCCATAGTATTCAGAATACAACACAGAAACAGTTAGAAGGAAAGGATTAGACATACATAGGTATCCATGGATCTTGAAAACATAGTGCTAAGTGAAAAAAAGAAAAGTAAAAAAATACCACTTATGTAAGTCAAAAACACATACACATGAAACACTACAGGTTTTATAAGAACACTAACAAATGAAAAGATGCATAGTAAGCATATCAGAACGATTGCTTGTAAAGGTAAGAAGGGAACAGAGAGAGTATGAGAAAAAAGTGAAGCAAGTAAATAACAATATGAAACAAAAGAAGGGTCTTTCCATTGGCCAAAGGTGATGGTGTGCTCTGAACTCCTAAGGATCTGATTAAATAAATCACCAGCTCCAGAGAACAAAAGGGATGGATGGGATCAAATGGGTGTAGAAATTACCTCTAACTCTTCAATAGTGGTGTTTTCTTCATGAACTTTCAAATCATTCTGTGTGTCTTCCTCTCCAGGTTCTTGACCACCCACAATTTCATTGAGGTACTGCTGATCAATCTTATCCAAAGCTGCTTTTAGATCATTCCTCAATCCCTAAGAAAGGTGAAAAAGTTTCACTAATGTCTTGACTTTGATTTTTCATTAACAATAAGTACAATTCTTTTTTTTTTCTCTCTGCGAGAAGTCAAGAGCTTAACAAAACCAGTGACTCAAATAAGATTTCAACTAATTATACAGCTATCGTTATCATCCACTCAAAGTTAATTGTTACGAATATATTTAAACTTAAAAGGATGTACGTGCAATGAGTAGTCTGATGGTCAGAAAAACAGTCATGAGTGACAAACCAAATAAAAATCTTCAAATATGCTGCAACTTTCTGATGAAGACCAGTCAAAATGACCAACACTCCTTAAGAGTCCCGAATCCATTTTCCCACTTCACTTAAAATGTCTGATCTCACTTCAGCTACTCCACGGTTCCCAAACATTCAGAAATGTCAATGAAATAAAAGTGGTATCTCATCTATATCCCAGGCTCTCAACTATGTTTCTGACAAACTGACAAATTCCATATTCCATGCAGGTCTAGTTCATAATCGTTTGATGAAAAATGGAAGCCTCCGTGTCCTAAGCATGAATGAGAACTGTGAGAACCATGGAACTATGGCCATGAGATAGCTGTAGTGCAGTGGTTGAGACTATTTGAGTTCAAATTCTTGCTACCACTAGCTCTTGCAAAGCTATGTGCCTCGTTGCCCAATCCATAAAGCAAGACTATCTAATATGTAGGCTTTTCATGAGGATTATATATTTTATTTCATCTAACGCTTAGTATGTGTGCTGGGACTATACAAATATTAACTCATTTAAATGTTAATATATGAATACTACATTTTGAACAGTCACTGACACATAGTAAGCATTCAACAAATGTTAAGTCTTGTTACTATATTAGAAATATCAGATGCTAGTTTATTGTCCTTTCATAAACACAGAAGAAAAACATTCAACTCAAAAGACTTATAATTTCCTAAACATTTACTGAATACATGCTATGTATAAAGTATGATGTTAGGTGTTCCCAAAGGTGTTCTCATTTAATTCTCACAACAACCCAGCAAGGCAGGTATCACCATCTCTATTTTACAAGCAAAGATTTTAAGGCTCAGAAGACTAAAGAATATGTCAAATTTCACTAATTAATAGTTCACTAATCCAGGAATGGAATCTAGACCTTGATTCCAAGTCCTATGCTCTTTCCTCAAAATGTAGTACCTCATTATTCAAGGCACTGCACTCAGCATACAAAAATAAAACAGTCCTTGCCCACAAGGAAGAGATAAATATATACATAATTCTAATGCTAGTGAAATATATTAAGTTAACAGAAGTTTATTATGGGAACATGGAGAAGGAAACAATTAATTCTGAGTAGAACCAAAGAAATGTTCATAGAGGAGATGTAATCCTTGATTTGTGTCTGAAAGTATAAGTACCAGATTTTAGCCTAGGCACACCAAAGAAAAATCAAAGCAGGTCAAAGAAAAATTATCACTACACAGAGGACTGAAAGTGTTCAGGCAACTGTTGGTGTTGTGTGGCTAGAATGAAGCCAGAAAGGTGGTTTAGTGACAAATAATGAACAGTGGTAAAAGCCATGTGAAGAAACAGGAAGTTGCTGAAAGTTCTGAATAGAAAAGTGACACAATCATAGTCTGCTTTAGAAAATTAAACTGGCAGTGTATAAGGCTTGAATAAGAAAGAGATATGATGATAATAAGTATATAAGAAAGAAGGCTTGATGGCCCATGGTCAAGTGTTTGGCTGCTAACTTAAAGGTCAGTGGTTTGAACCCACCAGCCTTGCTCTGCAGAAGAAAGAAAGTCTGCTTCCGTAAAGATTACAGCCTAGGAAACTTTATGGGGCAGTTCAATTCTGTCTTATAGATTCACTATGAGTCAGAATCGACTTGACAGCAACAGGATTTATTTTAAGTATATAAGAAGACCAACCTAAGAGCCTATGAAGCTGTGGTGGCAGAGATGTTAGTGAGAAGAAGGGTATGAGAGGAATTATAGAAACAGAATCAATAAAACTTAATAACAGACTAGGGGAAGAGAAAAAGATAAAAAAAGAAACAGAAACCGCTTCCCATCTTTCTTGATTCAATGCATAATGATTATAAACAAAAAGGTTCACAGAAGAAAGACTAGAGTCAGAGGAACTTTAAAAAGACACTCAAGTCTTAATAAAGTTAAGAGATGTATGTTGAACAGATTACATGGAGAACATGAGCAAATAGTTGAAAATGCAGGTCTCCCACATTGGATTTGGGCTGGTGCTGTGTAACTCACAGAATAAGGCAAAAGTGACAATGCACAGCTTCTGAGGACAGATTATAAAAAGTCTCGTGGCTTCTGTTTTTGTTTCAGGGAATACTCCCATAGGGGAAGCTAAGAACCATGTAAGAAGTCTGTCCTGGGTTAAATTGTGCTCCCCCAGAAATTTGTGTCAACTAGTTAGGCCATGATTCTCAGTGGTATGTAAGTTATGTAATGATATAATGCAGGAGATATGTAATAATACCCCATGATGTGATCTGATGTGCTAAACTGATCAGGTGTAAAAGGATTAAAATTAAGAATGGGCTGTAACAACCTTAGTCCCATCACAGCCCTCATAAAAGGGGAGCTTCTCTGGGGTATACCTTGTAACACCTTTCATCTTACAAGAGATAAAAGGAGAGAGAAGGGAACAGAGAAGTGGGACCTACTATCACCAAGAAAGAGAAGCCAGGAGCAGAAAGTGTCCTTTCAATCCAGAATCCCTGTGCTAGGATCTTCCTAGGAACAAAAGACACAGAGACAGAAAGCCTTGCCCTAGACCTAGCACTCTAAACTTGGACTTTTCACCTCCTAAACAGTAAGAGAATACATTTCTGTTTGTTAAAAGCCATCCACCTGTGGTATTTCTGTTATAGTACCACTAGAGAACTAAGACAAAGTCCAACTACTTGGAGACTTTCTGTTCTGTAAGGAAGCCCAAGCTAACCAATGGAAAGGGCACACAGAAAGATGACTGGCCATCCCCTAACTATTCTGGCCACTCCAACTGAGGTCCCAGACGTATGAGCAAAGATACCATCTTAGAAGACCAGACCAAGGGAGCCTGCAGCTTCAATTGCAGCAATTTACCCAGATGCAGTCACAAGAAACACCACAAGCAAAAACTGCCCAGCTTAACAGTGAGAGATAAAATAAATTATCTGAAGTTTCAGGATGATTTATTACACAGTCATAGAAAAGTGAAATTGATTTTATAATAAGAAATTGCTTTAAGCTACTAAGTTTTGGGGTGGTTTGTTACACAGACGAAGATAAACCACACTCATCTCTCAGTAACTGATAGAACAAGTAGATAAAAAATTGGAAAAGATGCAGAAAAGCTGAATACTATTACAATGAACATTTATAGAACTGTAGACCCAAATCATAAAGAATATTCTTTTCAAATGGCTATGTAGTATTCACCAAGAAAGACCAAAAAGCAGAGGCAAAAAACAAGCTTTTATAAAGTTAGAAAGACTGAAAATCATAGATTATGTTCTCTGACCAAAATGGAATTAGATTAAAAATCAGTAACAAATACGTGTATGAAAATTAAGCAATATCATTCTAATAACTTATGAATCAAAAAGAAATCATAATTAATTTTTTTTTTAGTATTTCAAACAGAAAGAATGCAACCACCAAATTTGTGGGATGCAGGTAAAACAGAGGGAAGTGTAAATAGCTCTAAATGCTGATAGTAGAAAAGAAGAGTTTAAAAACAATGACCCAGCTTCTACTTTAAAAAGCTGGGGGGAAAAAAGATAAAACTGATCACAAAGTGACATGGAAAGAAATGATGAAAGGCAGAAATCAATGGTACAGAAAACTCACTCAATAGAGAAAGTCAACGATACCAAAACTGCTTCTTTGAAAAGAAAACATACATTTAGCAGCGGTAACCTGACAAATTTTCTTCCCCATTTTTGCCTATAATAATACAATTAGTCCAACTCCATACTCCTATAGTTTATATGGTACAGTGGATATTTTTTTTCTAGCGATGACCTGACTTCTTACCTTGTTAACTTCTGGTGTGAGGATCTCTATCTTTCTTAAACGCTGAAAAGCATCATAATCAGTTTCTCCAAATAATCTGATTGGTTCTCCTCTTTCTCTCAATCTTCTGATAACCTATTAAAAAAAACAAATCCTCAGTAAATTATTTAACTTCTGAGAGAGGAAAAAAACTAAATATCTCAAAACAATTTGTATATAATCTTAAAATTGAAATCTGGGTTAAACAAAGCTAATTTAATTATCCAAACACAGATGTTTCTGAATGAAACAAAAAATTCTTTAAATATTTTGCTCATTTCAATTATGCTAAATAAAAATGTTTGTGAATCAAAGAGAAAATCAAGTATTTAAAAATCTATTTTGATTCAAGTATCGTTAGGAATTTTATTACTGAATAACTCCTAGAAAATTGTCTGTCTATGAATCTACAATTCAAATCTAAAGAAAGCCCCTAATTTAAACCATAGCTCTTTTCTAAGACAAGCCAAAATATATAATATCACAAAAATATGAGAAACAGGTTCCTATTTTTGCCCTCCTTTTAACATAAATAAATGTTACTGCTATCTGTCCTCTTTTAAAGGACATCAAAAGACAATATAATAATCCCTTATGTTAACATATTGTAGGTTAAGAAAAAAAGCACCTCTTTATTTCATTGTTACTTATTTTGAAATGTAAATAAAAAATTAAGTTGTATTTGTTCTTTCTTTCATTTTCTATGAACAGCTATATCACACACAGAAACGACAGGACTCCCACTGGATTAACAGAAGTTTGATGCAAAACAGAAACTTAGAGATCATCTGGTGCTATCTCCAATCAATACAAAAATGACCTCAAAAGCCACCTTGTCAAGTCCCCATCTGACAAACAACAGGAATCACATGTCTTCATGAAACAGTCCAGTACATTTTTGGACAGTTGTTTTGTTTCTCAGACTAAAACAAAATCTATTTCCCTCAAACATCTACCCATTTTTATCCTATTTCTACTTTATGAAACCATACCTACTTCTTTTTCAAAAATAAAATTTCTCAAATAATGGGTTTTTAAAAATGCTTCTAATAATTCTTCTCTTTTGGCTACACATTCCAAATTCCTTCACCTAATTTTTCCATGATGAATGGGGAAACCTTTCTAAGCAAGATACCCAAGGCAAAAGTCATAAGGATAAAGATTGCAAGCTTGATGTGATCATGGAAAATCTAAACCCGTGTGTCAAAAATCAAATGATAAACTGAAAAAAATATACATTATATATACATCTGACATATATACACTCATAAAAATAGGTTAGTACCTTTAATACATAAGTATGTTGATTCACAAATCAATAGAAAGATCAATTTCACAACAGAAAAAACTGCAATTCACAAGAGACATTAATAACCACTGAACATAGGTAAATATGTTCAACCTCTCTAAAAATCAGAAAATTACAAGTTAAAATAAGGTATATTTTCACTTACCAGCTTGGCAAGAATTTAAAAGAATGATATTGTTTTCAAACTGGAAAAGACTAATTAAATCTTTTTAAAATAAAGAATTGACAGAGTTGTTAGGAAAATGGCACTCATAAACTATTAGTGGGAATATAGATTGCTAAAGCTTTCTTTGTAGTAAAATTTAATAATATCAATCAGAATTTTAAGAGGACACATCTTTTAACCAGAAATCATTTTCTAGGAAATTGTCCTAGTGATAAACTCATACAAAGGCATCAAAGATACATGTATAAGGATGTTTACTTCAGAACTGTTTGTGTCAAAAAACTGAAAATAACCTAAATATTCATGACTAAAACCAAACCAAACCAAACTTACTGCCATTAAGTCGATTCCAACTGGGTTTCCAAGGCTATAAATCTTCCCTGAAGAAGTTGGTAGGTTCAAATCTTTTGATTAGCAGCCAAAATGCCTTAACCACTAAACAACCAGAGCTCCTTATCCACGGGTAAGGGGCTAGTTAAATTATAAAACTATTACTAAAAATAACAGCTACATACATTGAGTGCTTACCTCCAAGTACTGTGTTCTAAGTGCTCTTCATGTATTACATACACCTCATTTAATCATGAAAATCTCATGAGGAATATCACTATTATTACTGTCATTTATAAATTAGGAAATCAAAGAACAGAAAGGTTTAGTAACTTGCCCAGAGTCACACAGTTAGTATCAAAAATTTATATACAAACATCCATTCCACTTTTTTGCTGTCACAAACAATTTTATGATGAATATCCTCATACGTATATCTTGATGCATTTGTATATCAGTAGGATAATTTAATATATCCTCAAAATATATGTTAAGGTGAAAAAAAAAAACAAGGTTAAAAAAACATGTAAATGATCTAATTTGTGTGAAAGAGGAACAAAAAAACAAAAAATATACACTTACATGTACACAAAATTGCTAGAAGATTCACAAGACTATTAGGAATGGGTGACTCAGATAGTAAAAAAACTGAGTATTGATTAGGTGGGGGGAATTTGGGGACAAAGGTAGGAAGAAGGGAAGATATTTATGTTTTAAAGACTTCTGAATTGTTTGAATTCTTGATATCCCATAAATGTCTTCAAATCTTGCTTTTATTTATTTATTTTTAATATAGTAATAGTTGATCATGACTAGGGTATTGGCAAACACTACAGATAGAAATGTAAACCTGCACAGCCAGCTACCCAGAGGGACCGAGTAGTTGAACCTGTGGGCTCAGGACCATAGTCACAGAGGACATCAAGCTCAATTGGCATAACACACTATACAAAACATTGTTCTACCTCCTCCTTTGTGAGTAGTGACTGGGATCTTTAAAGCTTGTAATCAGCCATCTAGATGCAACAATGGGTCTCTCCTCATCCAGAACAAAGAAGAATGAAGAAAACCAAAGACTCATGGAAACAATTAGTCCTAGTAACTGGTACACCATTCAATCTGCAGCCTATACGACTGTGAGACCAAAAGAACTAGATGGTGCCTGGTTACCACTGTCAACCACTTGGAAGGGGATCTATATAGGAGATCCTGAATAGAGAGGGAGAACAATGTGGAACAAAACTCAAAATCATTTGGAGAAAAAAAAAAGGGAGGACCAGGTTTGCTGGTCCGATAGAGCCTAGTGGAACCACTATGGCCCCTAGCTGCTCTTCAGGTTTGGAATTGAGACCACACCTGTGGCTTCCAGCCAAACAAAAGACAGGCATATGAGGTGAACATTTACCTGAAGTATATACACTCCTTGGAGAGAACAATCATGGGAGAAAGAAGGGCTGCTTTTGCACAGGGAGACAGCTCAGGGGGCAGAAGCGCATGGAGGGATGGACACAGGGAAGAGGTAACTATCCGGAAGAAGTGGGAGGGGAGCTGTTGCATCGTGCTAAATTGTGGTCAACGTCATGAGACAATGTGTACGTGAACTGCTGTATGGAAAGTGAATTTGCTCTGTAAATTTTCACCCAAATCACAATAAACAAACAAACAAAAAGAAATGTAAACCTGTATAAGAGCCAGTTGGTAACACATATCAAAAGTATTAAAAATGTACATAGTCTTTGGCCTAGAAATCATGTTTCTAGAAATTTTTCCAACGGAAATAATAATAAATCATTACAGGCAGTCCTTGGATTATGCACAACTTGCAGTTACAAACCAACCTCCATAAAGCCTATTATATCAAAAATTCAAGGTACTTACAATGGTTGGTCATAATACATGCATGCTATTTTGTGATGTGCATCAAAACATTATTTTTATTATTACTGTATTATTATGGTAAAGATGTTTTAGTGTATCTGACAGTGTTTCTTTAATGTTATTTATGCATAGAAAGGTACACTATATACTAAAACATTTGACAAAATACTTTAGATATGAAGCATATATAACTTCTCCAACTAACATACAAATTCAACTTAAAGACAGACTTAGGAATGGTACTTGTTCATACACCAGGGACTTGCCTGTATTGCATGCAAAAATGTCTATACAAGGATGCTCACCTTAGTATTATTTATAATAGGGAAATGTTGAGGCAATCTCAATGATCATTAAAGAATTGGTTTTAAAAATATTATGGTACAAGCAATGGGAAATTATATAGCTATTAATAATGATGTAGGTCTCTATATTTTGACCTGGAAAAGTGTATTATTAAGTAAGTAAGAGGAAAGTACGTTAAAAAATAATACATTATTTTAAATAATTTAGACAGATAATAATTTAAGTGTAATTATTTACACCTAAATAATTCTGTATTTCTTTATTTAGAATAAGGAAATCTGCTTGACTGCTAACCAGAAGTCTGGCAGTTCAAACCCACAAGCCACTCCATGGAAGGATGACTGAGCAATCCACTTCCATAAAGATTTACCACCTCAGAAACCCAAAAGGGGTCACTATGAGTCAGAATGAACTCAATGGCAGTGAGTTGTTTTTTTTTTTTTTTTTAGAATATATGCATTTATTTATTTAATCGATTATTTATTTTTACTGTGATTTGGGTGAAAGTTTACAGAGCAAACTCATTTTCCATAAAACAGTTCATACACATTTTGTTTCATGACATTAATTGCAATTCCCATAATATAAGAGCTCTCTTTCTGCTTTTTTTCCTGTGCCTACTTTCCTATGCATTCCTGCCCTCTGAGCTATCTCCCTGTGCAAATGCTGCCCTCCTGATCGCCCATGGTTGACTGTTCTAAGGAGTATACCTACCTGATATAAATGTTCATCTTACATGAATGTCAATTGTTTGTCTGGAAGCCACAGGAGTGAGTTCAACTGCAGGCCCAAAGGGTGACCAGGGGCCATAGTCTCAGGGGTTTCACCTGTCTCTATCAGACCAGTAGGCCTAGTCTTTGTTAGGATTTTGAGTTTTGTTACACATTTTTTTTCCCACTCTATCTAGGATCTCCTGCACTGATCCCTTTCCAAGTAGTTGACAGTGGTAGCCAGGCACCATCTAGTTCTTCTGGTCTCATGATTATGTAGGCTGAGGTTCACATGGTCCACTAGTCCTTTGCACTAATTGTTCCCATGTGTCTTTGGTTTTCCTCATTCTTCTTTACTCCAGACAAGCAGAGACCAATTGTTACATCTTAGATGGCCACTTGTAAGCTTTTAAGACTACAATTGCTACTCACCAAAGTAGGATGTAGAACAATGCTTTTGTGTAGTATGTTATGCCAACTGAACTTGATGTTCCCAGCAACCATGGTCCTGAGCCCACAGGCAAAAAAACTCACGCCCTCATGGTGGTTGGCTGTGGCTAAGAAGTTATAATAACTTTGTCTCATTAGCTCTACTATATATATGGACTAACACACACAAATACATCTACCAAACTTATATATGGTCATGGGTATATTCCCTTTTGCCTAGACATACTTGATCACTCAGCCTGTCTACCTATGTATCCACCTTCAGATTAATGCTTGTTATTACTGATAATTTAGTGCTGTGTATGCAAAAGTGTCAGAAGGAAGGCTGGACAATCTACATCCGTAGTGACAATGCCTCGGAAACCCAAGGCGGGGTCGTTATGAGTCGGGTCCAACTCGATGGCAAACAACAACATGCTAAAGTGTTTATCTCTGTTGTCTTTACCTCTTGTGCATCTCTCTGTGTGTTCCTTTTCCTTAGTGTTACTGTCTTGGTCACTTGCTTTTGGTATATTGCCTTTCCTTTCACACAAATCAATACTTGTCTCTTACCTGCCTAGCAATTTTCCCTATCCTACCCTCCAATCCCTGGTAACCAACAAAGAAAGTTTCCTTCCATGTATAAACCTTTCCTTGACTTTTTACAATTGTGGACTAATACCATATTTGTCCTTCTGTGATTGACTTATTTCACTCACTATAATGTCCTCCAAGTTCATCTATGTTATGAAGTGTTTCGTGGATTCTACACCATAGAATATATGCATTTCCTTTTAAAGTTTAGAAGGACATACTCTAAAAAAAAAAAAAAATACAGTTAGTAGTATCGAGAGTAAGAGCAGATTTAGGACTTCATGAAGAAAACTGGCTATACAATATTTTTAGTTCACTAAGTCATAGATAAAAAGTAACGACATAGAAGATAATGGAAAGAACTAGAGAAAAAATGCAAACAATGTTGAGACTTTTTTTCATTAAATGGTCACATATAAACTTACCTCTTGCCTAGAAAGAGTCATGGGTAATTTTTCCTCTGCCAGTTCAAGTTCTAATACTGGATTTGATGAAGTTAATGGTTTCTGTTCCTCCTCTTTTGGCTGTATCTATATTAATATGCAATAGAAATGAAATTCAGCTTTTAAAATACAGTATATTTTATAATATATATAAATGAATGTATAGGTAATTTATTACCTTAGTTATTCATGGAAATTAAACATGTTTTAAATATTGAAGGTTTTCTAAATGCTCCTCTGAGGAAAGAGCTCATAATACATGTGCATGTTTTTCAGAGCTTATCGAACATCTATTTTAATGACATCACAAGTAGAAACCATGCACTTAGGAGGCAGCATTCTCACTATAAAAGAGTGGCATAATAATAATGGTTTCAAAAAAAAAAAACCTAACAGGGCTAAAATTTACTTATTTTTTCCTATGGCTCTACATAACTTTACTTTTTTCTTAAAAACAACCAATTTGGTTCTTTTATTTGAGAAAATTACCTGAGAGGGTTATTTGATCCTTGCTCTAATGACTAAGGAAAATAACACTTCCCAACAGAAACCTGTGAAGCCTCAAGCTCCAGCCGTTTTTCTATCCTACTTATTGAAATGTATTATTCCAAATGCACAGAAATCCCTGTTGGATATCTAGAAAACTAGAAGTTGCCCACAAACTGAGCTACGAACCTTGTGGAAAAATAATGAAAAACAGCATCTCTCTACCCATACCACACAAGGAAAGAGCGGATATTCTTGTTCATATGAACCTGCAGGAAAAAATTTCTCTTCATATAGTTTCTTGAGTCTGTTGTCCCAATCAGTTTTAGAAAAGTGTGGTCAACAATATATAGGCCCCACTGAGTGGTCTGTGAAAAGATATTGAAACATGGTTTCCCAACTGACCATAAGAAAAACCTAAAATGCTAAAAGTAAGAGTAAGATCCAAAGAACACAAAAGATCTACATTAAGGAAGAAACTCACATTCAATTAAGAAAGGCTATATTGTTAAAATTATACAATTTATGATTCTACACTTTACAGTTGAAGGTTACATTTGTGTTGTTGTTGTTATTGTTATGTGTTGTCGAGTCAGACCCGACAACTCATAGCGACCCGTCCTTGGGTTTCCGAGGCAGTATTACTACGGAAGAAGATTGCCCAACCTTCCTTCTGAGGAGTCGCTGGTGGCTTTGAACTGCCAGCCTTTATTAGTGTTAATAGTGGTAAAAGAAAATTGAAGTTAAAAAACTAAACTTTCATATTTTCACTCAGTATCGAGCCTTAAAAAAAGATTACTAATTCCTATGAAAGAATAACACTAATACATAACTGTATTTTCATAACTAGAACAAAGGAAATATTTAAAACCTCTTTGGAAAGAAAACCTGTGCCTTCTTTTTAAACATATAGAACAGGTATTTCTCCAAAGTCTCAGAACTAGTGCATTTTTAATCATTCAGTGACAGTTAACAGTTTTAGGGAAGAGGTCTAAGATATTTTGTCACTTGGACTCAGTGTGAAAAGCAGCATCTTTACAGTAATTACTCTGCTTCAGAGTTTTCCTCTATATATGCAAGAAAGCACTTCTATATCACTAAGACAATCTAAACAAAGCAAAAACGATTTTAAATTATTTTCCTATTTGACAAAAAGTTTAAAAGGTTTCAAATTTAAAGATCTGAGAATGCAACAAGTCAGCAGACTAAACTCATGATAAGTGATTCTTATTCCAGATCAAGTCTGAATTAGACAACATTGGACAATCCACAGATGCCAATATCACACCTCTGAATATCTACTCAGTGATACATGTATATGTATGTAAAACTTAAATTTCCTAAACTAAAAGCAAATAAAGTCAATACATTCACGGAAAATATCAAAATACAAATATAAATGTTCAGAATTTTTAGAAACTTATCAGAAACATAACTACCCTTTTCCTTAATACTTGCCCTTTCCCAACACAACAAAATAAAACCAAATGCATATACATACCATTTGCATTCCTCATGCTTCCTTCTAGAAATGCTATGTCAGAAAAATGAATTTCCAGAACTTTCCCCATTACATGCACAAGAGTATTTAAATATTTTATACTGTGTATCATGAGCAAAGAACTGATTTCAAGTTTATGCTTTGGCAAAAGAACTTCAACAGAACTTCTTAACACTGATTTTAAAAATTATTAAACTCCATATAGTCTTTTTAATAAAATAATTTAAACATGACTTCTTCACCTTACAACCTTCAATCCCATCCAATAAAAACCCTAAATATATTATCAATAGAGGTAATTTCAAAGATAACCTTAGTCATACTTCTGAAATATACAAAGCCTTCCAGACAACTCAGTTGATTCTAAAAAACATGTCAAGATTTACATTTTCATCCAATAGACTAAGCAGTGTTTGTAATGTTATACCTTATCACACAAAAGCATATGCATGTTAGATGGTACTGTATTTCAGGCAGAGGTACACAGAGCCAAAAGGAATAATTAACAAAGCAAACATAAAATCAAAGGCTTAAAATATTCAGGAGAAAGCAGAGAAAATATCAATGCTAATACCGTTGTCACTGAATGAGTAAAATGTTTGGAACCCTTTAAAAAATAGACTTCTATTGGGAGAAGTGGGAAGAGGAATGGTGGTGGAGATGAAAATGAGGCAGTATCAGACCCAGGGCTTAATTTAAATAAATAAATAAATTCGAGCTTTGATCTCAAGCCATTTCATGCTGTCCACAAAAAGCCAAATCATTCCAAGCCAACTCATGCATGTATTTTCCTGAATTCAAGATCTAAAAAATTAAATTGGAAAAAAGCAAAAACAAAACAAAAACTCATACCTCTCCAGATGGCTTCTCATTTATAGGCTAATGTATAACATTGATAAATTGAACAGAGATCAATAATTTTGTCACTTTAACAACAGCTGAATAAATTTAAATTTAAAAATATAAAATTGATTGTAAAAGCAGACATTCATACCTTGTAACCACATCTTTCAAAATATGCCTCCTCTTCTTTTTTAGCAAGTTCACTACGTTTGAAATATTTTTTATTTTCCTATTAAAGAAAAAAAATTAAATTAACAATATCCTTGAGCAAAATTTCCTGTCCCACAGGCAACAAGTGTCTTTAGAAACCTGAAAACCTAATTTACACATAAAATGGTATATGTTAATTATTTTCTCTTAACAGAAACATTCTTCACTGTTTTAAGAATTTGGTAAATGCTTTTGTCTCTGTAGAGATTGCACTGATTTCCTGAACATGCCATCTTTCTATCCCCAGTCTGGGTACTGATATGTGATAAATACTGGCATGTTTTTTTTATAGTATCATTTTAACAAGCATGTCCAACAGCAAAGAGAAGAAAGCAACAATAGTTTCTAAATGCTCACATTCTGATTTAATTTCTAAAAGTTTGAGTTCAAAAGAAAATTTCTACAAATGGATTCATTATGAAGCACATAAAATGGTCTACGTTAATTATCTTTTCCCAACAGAAACAAAAATTATGGTATGTATAGTTAACATCTTAAATCCCATTACTAAGAGAGAGCCAACTTTTTTGTCATATGGAATTTTATCCTAGCAATAATTCTGAAAATAATCTATACATGGAATGGTTTTAGAGAATCTTTTAGTTTAAAAGATTATTTAAAGGTATTTGTTTTAATATGACTTGATGTTAAGAAACAAGCTTTAAATCAACTATGGCTAAAAAAAGTTCTTTCCACAATATATAAAATTATTCTTGTTTTTAAATCTAGTATGTTATTTGAATGCTTGTAACTTGGATCTCTGCCTCTTGGATATTATTCCATTGATGGCTTTGCTCAAAAAAAGGTTCTGCCCCACTTTATTAGTAGTAATTATAAGAGTACTTCAATAATACCTTTACTCATGTATTTAGCACCTAATAGTTTCAAACCACAGTCATTCAGGCAAAATGATTATCAATGGATGCTAAGACCGTTATGAGAAAAGGTAGTGGTGAATGATACAAAGATCAGGCTGTCAACACTTGAACCCACTGATGAAGCTTAGCATCAGTAAAACATGTGCCTTCTATGTGATACCATGGGAGCTCTGGTAGCATAGTGCCTGAGGCATGTGACTGCTCACCAGAAGGCTGAAAGTTCAAACTCACCAGCCACTCCTCAGAAAGAAGACTGGGCAATCTACTTCTGTAGAGATACTGCCTCGGAAACCAAAGGAGGTGTCACTATGAGTAGGATTCAACTCGACTCAGTAAGTTTGGTTTTGGTATGTAATACCATAAGGAGCTCTGGTGGTGCAGTGCCTAAGGCATTTGACTGCTAACCAGAAGGTCAGCAGTTCAAAACCTACCAGCCACACCATGGAAGGAAGACTGGGCAATCAACTTCTATAAAGATTTACTGCCTCGGAAACCCAATGGGGGTCGCAATGAGTTGGAATCAACTTGATGTCAGTGGGTTTGGTTTTGGATTTTTATGTGATACCATATGAAGTATATAACCAGTTACCATTGAGTTGATTCCAACTCATGTGATCCTATATGAGTCAAGACTAGAACTGCACTCTACATGGTTTTCAATGGCTGATTTTTCAGAAGTAGACCATCAAATCTTCTTCTAAGGTGCCTCTGGGTGGACTCTAACCACCAACCTTTCAATGATCAATGAAAGATTTTCTTCCAAGGTGCCTCTGAGTGGAACAATAACCACGAAATTTCCAGTTAGCAGCAGATGTGTTAAACATTTGCACCACCAAGGGACTCCATGAAGTACACAGCACCACCTATAAAGTATCTTTGCAATGTTAAACTATAAACAAACAAAACCAATCTCACGGCAGTTGAATCAATTCTGATTAAGCGACCCTTCCTTGGGTTTCGGAGGCAGTATCACTACAGAAGTAGATTGCCCAACCTTCCTTCCGAGGAGTGGCTGGTGAGTTTGAACCGCCAGCCTTCTGGTTAGCAGTCAAATGCCTTAGGCACTACACCACCAGAGGGGCTAGTTAACAATACACATGCTAAATTTTTTACAAGGTAAAGAACACTGATATCTGAAACTTAGTTTGAAATACTTCAGGGTACAATTCTTTCAACCTTTCTGTACTTTTCAAAATTTTCAAAGTAAAATGTTGAGAAAAAGAATCTATTTCGAAGTAGATGTCAAAATATGGTATCAACATGCCAACAAACTCCCTGCAACACTGCTTTTTCTTTATGCTAAAAACTTCCAAAGGCTCCAGACTGACAACTAAATAAAGAGAGGAACTGGAGAGGATTAGAAAACTGTTCACAGCAAAGGGATGAACAAGTATGAAATTTGTTAGCTCTCTTAGCAGTCCACGGTACTTTAAGCATTCTTCCCCAACATCACAACTCAAAAAGCATCGACTCTTCTTTGGTCTTCCTTATTCATTATCCAGCTCTCACATACGTATGAGGCGAAAAATAAAAATACCATGGCTTGCATCAAGTGCATCTTAGTCTTCAAGGAGATATCTTTGCTCTCCAGCAACTGAAAGAGGTCCTTCACAGCCAATTTGCCCAGTGTTATACATCGTTGATATCTTGACTGCTGCTTTCATTGGTGTTGATTGTAGAAACAAGTAATACGAAGTTTTTGACAACTTCAATCTTTTCTCCATTTATCATGCTGCTGCTTAATGGTCCAGTTGTAAGAATTTTTGTTTTCTTTATATTGAGATGTAATCCATACTGCAGACTGTAGTCTTCAGTCCTCATCAGTAAGTGCTTCAAGTCATTCTCACTTTCAGCAAGCAAAGTTGTGTCAACAACATATCGCAGGTTGTTAATGAGTCTTCCTCCAATCCTGATGCCACATTCTTCTTCATATAGTCCAGCTTCTTGGATTATTTGCTCAGCATACAGACTGAATAAATAGGGTGAAAAGATACAACCCTGATACACTCCCTTCTTGATTTTAAACCATGCAATATTCCCTTGTTCTGTTCTCACAACAGCCTCTTGGTTTATGTACAGGTTCCTCATGAGTACAATGAAGTGTTCTGGAATTCTCATTCTTCTCAATGTTACCCACAATTTGTTATGATCCGCACAATCAAATGCTTTTGCATAGTCAATAAAACACAAGTAAACATCTTTCTGGTATTTTTCATCTTTCTGGCATGTTTGCAGCTGTTTCTTCTCATTTTAAGTTTTGCCACATCAGCAAATGGAGGTCCCAAAAGCTCTACTTTATCCATATCATTAAGGTCAGTTCCATTCTGATGAGGCAGCTTTTTCTCAGTGGTATTTTGAGTGCCTTCTGACCTGAGGGGCTCATCTTCTGGCACTGTATTGGACAATCTTTCTGGTATTCTTTGCTTTGAGCCAAGATCCATCTGACATCAGCAATCGTATCCCTCGTTCCACATCTTCTTCTGAATCCAGCTTGCACTTCTGGCAGTTTTCTGTCAATATACTGCTGCAACTGTTTATGAATTATCTTCATAAGACTTCACTTGCATGAGATATTAATGGTCACTTGATGTGACCAAAGACAAGGCAGCTCTTCTGGACAGCAATACCACGTACACAAGCATTTTTCAGTTACAGACAGGATAATGCACACAATTTACTGATCCCCAACCAGCATTTTTTTAAAAATTGACTTTGTCTTCTCGAGCTGCCTTTTGAAATCTTCTGCTCAGCTCTTTTATCTCGTCATTTCTTCCATTTGCTTTAGCTACTCTTCATTCAAGGGCAAGTTTCGGAGTCTCTTCTTCCATTTTGGTCTTTTCTTCCTTTCCTGTTTTTTTAATGACTGTGGTGTGGTGGTTAAGTTTGTTTGTCAACTTGGCTGGGCCTGATGAAGTGGCTGGGCAGCTGGTGATAGTTATTCCCCATGATGAGACTGGCAATCAACTCCATGGTGAGACTTACTACAAGCAGCTGAGTAGCTGTTTTAGGGATGTGATCTGCTTCCCATATATAAGAAACAGCTTTGGGGATGGTCTCTACCTTGTGGCACACTTAAACCCTGCATGTAGCCATGTCGTTGTTCGGCAGCCTGCTATGCTCTGCCAACCTTGGGACTTTCAATGGACTTGAATTAATGGCCTGCCGGGTGGTTTGGTAACATCAGGACTGTGCCTTTTTACTTGTCAACCTTGGGCTTCTCAGCCTCAGCAGTCAATAGCTGTCTGAGTGAAGAAAAACCTCTAGCTTTAGTGAGCCGGGAGCAGGAGGTAGAGCTGAAGCTCAAGGTTGAGGGGCTTTCACCCAGCCCCTAGAGCTTGGCACTTTGAACTTAAAACATAGAACAGTAAAGAGAATAAACTCCTGTTATCCCATTCATGGTATATACTCTAGTCAGAGCAGCACTAGGTAACCAGAACAATGACCTTTTGCTTTCATGGATGATGTTCTTGATGTCATTCCACAGTTCTGTTGGTTTTCGGTCACTGGTGTTCAGTGCATCAAATCTATTCTTTAGATGGTCTCTAAATTCAGAAGGGATATATTCAAGGACATATTTTGGCTCAGTGGAGTTGTTTTAATTGTCTTCAACTTGAACTTGAACTTGAATATGAACAGTTGATGGTCAGCTCCACAGTCAGCTCCTGGCCTTGTTTTGGCTGAAGATATTCAGCTTTTCCATCACCTCTTGCCACAGATGTTGATCTGATTCCTGTGTACGCCATCTGGTGAAGTCCACGTTTATAGCCATAGTTTGTGTTGTTGAAAAAAGGTATTTGCAATGAATAAGTCATTGGGCTTGCAAAATTCTATCATGTGATCTCCAGTGTTATTTCTATCACCAAGGTCAAATTTTCCAAATACCAGTGATTATTCTTTGTTTCCAACTTTTGCATTCCAATCACCAGTGATAATCAGCACATCTTGATTGCATGTTCGGTCAATTTCAGACTGCAGAAGTTGGTAGAAATCTTCAATTTCCTCATCTTTGGCTTTGGTAGTTGGTGTGTAAATTTGTGTAATAGTAGTATTAATTGGCCTTCCTTGTAGGTGTATTTATATTATCTTATCATTGATAGCACTGTACTTTGGGATAGATCTTGAAACATTCTCTGTGACAATG